AGCGTTAAGTGGTTAGTGTTCGCCGTTCGCTTGTAAACAGGAAATGTTGTTTTGCCCATACAGCTAAGTCAGGGAGGGGCCCTTGGGAGTATGTATCTGTGAGTATTAGCGTTAGCAAATACATTTGTGTGTGTGATGAAACAGGGTGACAGGGTTTTGTTAACTTCAGATCTAGATGCTTGTTACTTTTGGCTTTAATTTGCAAGTTCCTTTTTCTTTCTGGGCTAATGTGTGGCCATAAAAGGCTAAAACACTTACGTAGTCAAGTTTTGTCACAATAACTTCAAACACAATGTTCAGAGGAAGTGATCACACTCATGAGATACTTTGAAAAGTGTGCAGATCTTCTGATAAAGCTAAAGCAATAACTTCTCTCTAGCAGCCTGGAAACTATCCAAGTTTGGTAAAAAGGGTCAGAGGTAATAAGCAGGCCAAAGAATGTTTACATATATGAAAAAAATAAATATGCCGCTGTTTAAACACGCAACAGGCAGCCAGAACATTTGATCTGTAGTAGGTTTAAAGAGGAAAGAGGAACTGAAAACACGTGCCATATGTGGGTGAAATAATTGAAAGGCTGTTTCCAATATCACTTGCAGCAGTGGTGAATGTGCAAACGGAGTAAAAGCATCATCTAATAATGGTCACTGTTGTTGATCCAAACTGTACAGCTGGTTTGAAGCCATGCCGAATCCAGAGTGTATTTTCTCTCTTTTCTCCCTCTGACTCTCTAATCTTTTTTTTTTATCTTCATCTAGCTGTGAACAGGAAATGCAGTTTATAAATAACTTGCTCAGTTCTTGCTAAGAGCAAAGAAAAGGCCTCCGGGTTAGATGCAGTTATTGAGGACAGTTTGCCCATGACTGTGGTGGACTATGGTAGAACAGATAGAAAGGAAATTTCAAACATGAATATTCAGACAAAACAACACAGAATCTGAAATAATTACGCATGTTATTTGTTACATTCAGTGTGAAAAAGACAACACAACCAAGGTCGCCCATGCTTTACAAAAGCCATTGAAATGGGAAAATAGGTAAACAAGGCCCCATCTAGGGGGACAGAAGCCAGGAATTAAAGGTTTTTTGTTATCTGTTATTTTAATATGTTAAGTTAGTAGAATCTTCTGTAAATTATTGTTGCTGGAAGAGTAAACTGGAGTAAAAAACTGTATATATTGGTATATAGATTAAAGAATAGCTATCTAATGTTATGACAACTAGCTTGTTGATAAATCAGTAGAGTTATAATTATTGGTCGTGTAGTCGATACCGAACAGGCTCTGATTCCAGCTTCTAAAATGTGTATATATGCCATATTTCTATTACATTAAATTAAATAACCTTGTGTATAGATCGTTGAATCGGACAAAACAAGCAATCTAAATGCGTCAACTTGTGCTTTGGGAAATGGGTGTGCCATTTAATCAACAAACTATGAATGGGTTAATTGAGAGAATAAACAGATTAATCAATGAAAATAATCTTGAGTTGCAGCATTGTCTTCAGTGTCAGAAACAGAGAGCAGATCAGCAAACCTGGAAGTGAAAGTAGCACACGGTGAAAGTGTTGAGAAAATAGGGTGGAAATATGCTGAGATTTCAGATTTTGTAGTTTTAGTTGTTTATTCAGTCATTTGTGCATGTGCGTAAGAATGGCTACCGAGGCTGCATTATCGAGAAGGTCCAGATTTTCAGATCAGTAAGACATGTGCATGTGTTGCTTTGTGAAAGAGCACAAGTTTGCATCTCACCTTCAAGGTGGGTCTAGCTGTGTACTATGACTTCCTTCCAGTTCGTCACTTCAGTCTGAGCCAGGCCAGATGTCTTCCTGCTGTCTCGACTTGCTGTTTAGGTTCACAAGAAGGATATGTTGTTGTTTTTTTTAAATGAACTTGACTGCGTGCAAAAGCTGACTGCCAGAAATACAAGGAAAGTCAATAATTAATTAATAATAATTAAACTGAGAAATTAAATAAATTAATAAGCCTACAAAAATGTTTGAATAAATATGTACATAAATTAAAGTACAAAAGAAATTAAATGTGTCTTATAAAAGTGCGGGGAAAGGGGATTACTTAAAGTAAATTTATAAGGACTTGCTTTGTTTTAATGAATTTTTACTACCAACATGTGCAGTGTCACAGTGAATTCTAAATATTTTATTTCAATATTCTTTTGAAATATCAGTTTTTAGAGTACTCCTGCAGCAGATATTTTCTTCTAATGAGATCAGGGAAACTACAACGGCGTATTAGGACCATTGTAGTGAGAAAGAGATGGGGGAGATAGGGGGGTAATAGAAAAAAACAATAAAATAACCTGTATTTTCTCTGAGATTAAAGTGTTTTAAATGGTACTTGTGGTGTGATGATGATTTTTATTGACATTAAAAACCATGTTCTACATGCCCATATCAGTTGTAATTTCAATCTTATATTCAGTTTTTAGAGTGACTTCTGTCTAGGGACTACAGATGCAAAATAGTCCCTTGGCTCTTTTATGGCAATGTTTAATAATGCTCAATGTCTGTGTTAAATAAACCAATAAATAAAATAAAATCAGCAAATAAGTAAATGGAATTAAATTATTGTAATGTTTTCTGTATTCTAAATATGCACTATGCAGTATTTTGTTGGAGAAAAATTAACTAAATATAATAAATATAAATATTGGCTCAGATTTGAATTGGCAGATAGTCAGTATTAAAGGATTAGCAGCAACTATAATCATTTCATTTATTTGTGCTTTGTATTGTATTATAAGTATTGGTAGAGACAGCACAGTGTCTTTTTCATATGGATTTAGCCATGCCAAGCCATTCCCAGTGTTTACTGTTTATCATGTCTCACATCAATGAGAAAACATGGCAAGCATCACCATGCTGCGTCTCCTGCTTGATGCTGTTATTATTATTTATACCGGGAACAGGGTTTCTAGTAATTTCAGCAGCCTAAAAAAGAGCAGATTAAATTCAAGCAAACCTTGTCTCCTCTCTGTGAGCGCAAGACCTTTTCTATTATTCCATGTCACAAGGGTCTCATAAAATACTGCAGCGATAAGAAGCAAGACATCCAATGGTCTAGCCTGGATTGGATTTTGTGACGTCTTAAGTCACATCTGCTTGTAATCCCATCATGCCTTCTGAGAGAAAATCCCCTTCTTTTCCTCCTCCACACAGCACCAGGTGGAATCTCTGAATAAGATGACTGTAGCCAGTAAAGGACTCTCTGCCTTAAGCCTTCCACATGCAGGAGTGGTTTATACTGTAGGAATCAAAATGGAACAAATAGGTAAAATGTTGTAGTTGTCATCTTATAAGCCTGTTCAAGTGAACGAACAAGAGACTGTACTTCTCTGTCTTTGGAGCTTCTATGTAATTCAAGTTTGCCCTGCATATATTTGTGTGTGCATGTTGTAGTAGATCTGTGTGAACCATCTGTTAGAGTGCTGTAGCCTTGGCGTTCCCATCCTGCACGCTGTGCTCTGTCCGGGCACACTGCCCCAGGGTTTGGGGACTCTGGCGTATCTAGGACCCTCTCAGTGGGACAAATGTAAAAATAGCTCATTCAATTTGAACACTAGAGTGGCACAATGAACGCTGTCAACGTCGCAGGAACATCTCTGTAGCTATATCAAACAGCGGCTCTTCGATGGTGCAGAAAACAACACGTTTTGCACGTTCTTTTTGCTTTGATATCACTCACAGTTCTGCTGCTAAGAAGCTTGGAGCAGTGACAAGCAGGCCTGTCTTCAGCAATGGCACACTTACCTTTTAAATAAAACATGGCATTATTTTTGTATTTTGGCTATCTAAGTTAGTGAATGGGTGATTAAATCTCATTGACTTTGGGCTGTGCTTTGTTTTCACACAGTGCACAAAGAACTTCAACTGAAAGGAGAAGGGATTGTGTGGCTTGTAGTTAAGCGAATGCTGAGGAGAAGATGTGCAGTTACTCAAAAATGCATTTCCTGTTGCTTCATAAAGAAATGACACGTGTTCTCTTACTGTAGTTATTTCAGGGATATATCAGGGATTTCATTCTTTTTTTTACCTCATAAAACAGATAAGCAAAAATTAAAGGCCAATCTTGGCCAAAGTGGCAACACAGGTTTTTTGGGTTGTATGGGAGTTACACGCCCATATACTTTTGGTTGCCACAACCCCTTACCATAATCATAAAGTACACACTACACACACAATATACACTGATTTAGGAAAATTAAGTGGATGGGTTTTGCTAATGTGTGCTAAATCTTCGCAGACAAGACCTTCAGAATTGCAGTCACATCTAGATGCTCTGAGTTGGTTCTCTCAAAGCCAAAAAGAGCTGCTCGAATCAGTGAATCCCTTCAGAGGCAGCCCACAATACCAGAGGTTTTATAAAAAGACACTAATTAGATTTTGAGCACTCAGGAGTAATCACGCAATCAGCTCTCTTTGGTTTCAGGAAGAAAAAAAGAGTCAGACTTTATGAAATGACACAGATAAATCATGTCATAGGATGTGGACACTGCCTTTGACACTAAAACACAATAGACAATAATAATTATATGTTTCTCGTATTTAGCAGGTCTTAATATTATGACATTTGGCTGCTGTAGCAATGAATTGTTAACCGAGACTTTGAGCTGCCAGAAACCCTCTCGTCTGTAACACAGTGGTCGTTACTTAATCATGGACTGAATCACTTGTAAGACAGTCATGTTCGGATTCAGTTTCATGTTAAATCCAGATTTTAAAAAAATGTTTTCATAGCAAAGAATATGGCCCTTTCATGTCTGCATCACAGCTGTTTCATGAACGTCTGGTGTGAATAATGAACTCTCCTGTTGTGAATTATTGTGTGCTTGTTGTTCTGTTGCTGCTCTCTTGGGCTGTTTGATCTTTGTCCGTTGTCATGTGGAAGCACAGCAATCTCCTCCTAATAAACATGGGCCGGAAGAGAAACTATTGATTTTGTGACTGTGCTTTGATCTCCCTTTCTCTTTCTCTTTGCAGCTTGAAAGCTCTGGTTTCGACAGGAGGGAAAAACGTCCAGGCAGCTTGTGACTGGTGAGAGCAGCAACTTACTTTTACACACATGTTCTCTCGCAGTCACTGATGCTCAACCAGATTGCAAATAGACACTCTAGTGAGGGTGAACACCACATCTACTGACCTAACTCAACATTGCACTGACGTGTCACTGCGCTGTTACAACAGCGCTGCCCTCTGCTGGATGTTAGCCGTCCTCTCGCCTTTTAATGTCCCACTTTTTTTTTTTGCTCACCATCTTCTTCTTGTTGGCCACATCTTTCGCTCCAGGCTCTTCTCCCACGTGGATGACCCGTTCTTGGATGACCCTCTGCCCAGAGAGTATGTGTTATATCTGCGACCCAGTGGGCCGCTGCTTCAGCAGCTCTCGCACTTCTGGCAGCAGTCCCGCCTCTCCTGTGGCAAGAATAAGGCACACAACATCTTCCCCCACATCACCCTCTGCCAGTTCTTCATGGTCAGTGGTCTAATTTTGTGTATGTGTGTCTGCATGTCAAATGACATGGGAGCGCTGTTCCTTAACTCTGCAACATATTGCCAGTTTAAAGCAGTGGTACGTTTGGTGACTTCCTGTTTCTCTATCTCTGTGCTCAGTGTGCCGATGGGAAGGTGGAAGCTCTGTGCGACGCTCTCCAGACCACTGTGGCCAAGTGGAAGGCTCGCATACCCCCACCCCTTCCACTGGAGCTCTATACCTCTTCAACCTTCATTGGCCTCTTTGTGGAGGAGCAGGTGGCGGAGGTGCTGAAGGGTTTCGCTGCGGATTTTGCCACTGAAGCGGCAGCTAAAGCAGGTTTGAGTCCCCTTTTGTCCCTTTGATGAAAATGACAAAATTAATGATGCAGTTCAAGAAGCTCTCATTTGGATATTTAAAACTTCATATGTGGACTAATTCCTTTTACTGAAATCGTATTTTTGGGATGAGCCAAGCACTATTTAAATATTTCTGTCAGTGGAGAACCACTATAGTTAAAAGAATGTAAAAGGAAAATACATCTTTTGTCCTGAGAATGTGTGTGTAGATATATACATCTGGTGTGCACATTTCACTCTTTTTCTTTTGTTTAGATGTTCATGTGGAGCCCCACAAGAAACAACTTCATGTCACGTTGGCATACCACTTCCAAACCAGTCACCTTCCAGTTTTGGAGAAGCTGGCCAAAAGCGTGGATGTGGCTTCAGGCTGCGACTGGCTGGCTGTGCTCTACTCCCGGGATATTCGGTTTGCTAATCATGAGGTACATTTATTCATTTAGCCGACACTTTTATCCAAAGTGACAATAGCTATACATGTCAGAGGTGGCACACCTCTGAAGCAACTAGTGTCTTGCTCAGGGACACAATGGTGGATGGGTCACAGTTGGGGTATTGAACATGGGTCTCTCACACCAAAGGCATGTGTCTTATCCATTGCGCCATTGCCATTCCCTAGGGAGACTTGCTCCCTTTGAAATTAGTACTTCCGCGTTACACTTGTCTATTTTCTTAACATTAGGTGAAAGAAAAGTTGCTAAGATCCTAATTATCAGTCTAATGGCTGTCAACCATCTCCCCCCTGTAGACACTGCAAGTCATGTACCCGTATTCGCCTCAGAATGACGATGAGCTTGAGCTGGCGCCAGGAGACTTTATCTTCATGTCTCCAGTGGAGCAGACCAGTGCCAGTGAGGGTTGGGTGTTCGGTACCTCGCTGGGCACGGGGCTGTCGGGCCTGCTGCCTGAGAACTACGTCAACCGTGCTGATGAGTCTGACACCTGGGTTGTCCATGGGTAAGAAGAGGAGTACAATATTCAACATGTGCACAAGTCTGTTGTTGCGTAAGGAGCCATGCTGGGAGGCCGAGGAGGCAGATTAGTGTAATGAAGTGCACATGCAGTATAGTAACAGCACTAGCAGATTATCACCGAATGCCTCTCAAAGCCACCAAGTCCCCTTTGGGAACCACTTCATAAAGATGTCACTGGTATCTCAAAGTGACAATTCACAAATCCCCAAATGCACACAAATAAGGGGACGTTTCCTGGCTGACTGGAAAGATTAAAGGGAAAGACGAGAAAATTAATCGTCTTGTTGACCTGCTTCCTGACTACCCCTTCGACTGGGCTTCTTTGCCCAGAGTATTACACGCCTAGAAACTATTACTACTAATATGTGACAGGAAAAAGTCACAAAATGCCAAACAATGCAGGTGCATTTTGAAATGTTGCTTACAAAATACAAAATACTGCCACACAAATTATTTAATAGTGTCGGGGGCATCCTCTATGCTAATTTCACCCTCACACTCCATCATGCTGATATCGTGAGACAACTTTTCACCTCGATAAGAAACACTGTCAAGTTTTAATATCGCGAGACACCCCTGGAAACAATAGAATTTCCTTCCTCCTTCCGTTCATTGATTTTTTTTCAAGATACCTAAACCACACTCTTTAATCCCACTTTGACTTGTGCACCCTACTTTTGCTTATTCCTGTGTTTTAAGGCCATGTTTTGTATGCCTTGCGCTGTTGTGTTCTTGATTGTGCGTACATCTTGTTTAATTCTTATTCCTCCTCTGTACTGTGGTTAAACTGTGTCGTGTTTAAAGTGCTCTATGAAAAAAGTTGAATTCTCTGTGTTTGTCTGATCCTCAGGTCTCACTCTGTTCTGAACTGTGCCTCTCCGTCTAACTCCGGCAGCGCTATGGGTGGGTTATTATTTGATGGACAGCTGAATGACAGTCTATTTGACAGTCTCATGGATCCTCCCAGCTTCACCGGCCTCTGTCCTCCTATGCAGGTACAGCGTTCGTGTATTATGTGAATTTTTTAATGACTTGCAGGGGGAAAAAATGTATCATCGGAGAGAACATAATGAACGTAACTGAGTGTGTTAATACCAGTAATTACTGTGTATGCTTCTGGAAGGAGCTTGATTAATTGATTGATTAACGCTGTGCAACGTGTCTCTTATGCCTCACAATTTAAAATGAATTTTTATATCAGGTGTCAAGGCCAACTAATCAGTCCTCCTCGTCCAAGATGAGACTGTTTGTGTGTCGCCATGGGGAGAGAATGGATGTGGTGTTTGGGAAACACTGGGTAACTCAGTGCTTCGACTCCAAAGGTTAGCATGCAAGGGAGATTTATAATGCATTTTTATACTGCAGGCTTACATTAGACACTTTGGAATGAAGTATTTACTTCTTCTGTAACATTCTCATTTGTGTTTGTGTAGGCCGATACATTCGCTCTAATCTCAACATGCCAACCAGCCTGCCAGCTAGAATTGGAGGTCACCGGGACTATGATAAAGATTGTCCAATTACTGTGTTTGGCTCCACCCAGGCCCGGCTTGTAGGTCAGTAGATTTTATATACAGTTTGTTTTGATGTTGTATGTGTAAAAGAGGTCATATACCATATCTGCAAAGTTACCATAAATTACTAAAAGCTTTTTAGGGATTGTTAAATACAGTATGGATGATGTTTGCCAAATTATATAACAATTAAAATGGCTGACACTGTGTTTTGGTCCATCCCAGGTGAAGCCCTGTTGGAAAGCCACGCGGTGATAGACTTTGTTTACTGCTCTCCTTCTCTTCGCTGCGTCCAGACTGCCCAGCACATTTTGCAGGGTAGGACCTCATCTTCATTCTCTTCATCAATACTCCAACCACCATAGCTGACAAGTTACAAAGCATTTATTCAGATTCCTTCGGTTGGCATGTAATGTTTACCTTTCACTTATGTTGAAGTTACTGCTGCATGATGATATTGGATTTTTAGTGTTAAAATTGGCTCAGATCTATATATCTATTATATAAAGCTCTAATAAATTACAGCACACCCTCTGTTGTACCAAGAGACATTATTAGGAAACAAAATGGACAGGGGAACAAAGGGGTCTTACTTCTCTTTACCATTCAGTTACACATTCATTCACATTCCCGTCTTGTTATTTAGTTACTCTTATAGCACCAAGCCTTAGATTTCATGTGAAGCTGTATTTATAAAATTTTCAGTAAAAGTTAAAAAAGAGCAAGGTAAAATGACATGGCAGAGTAGATGCACGGTGGGAGCTGATTATTGACAGCCTCTCTCTGTGTTTCGCTCTGTCAGGTCTCCAGCAGGAGGGAAAGACAAAGATCCGTGTGGAGCCTGGATTGTTTGAATGGACCAAGTGGGTTTCAGGCACATGTTTACCCGCCTGGATCCCCCCAGCTGAGCTGGCCGCTGCTAACCTGAGTGTGGACACAACATACAGGTCCACAGCAACACCAGTACTACAGGATACATCTATAGCTTTTATCTGTGATTGTCTGTGTGCAATTTACTATAACCTTCTATATCTCTCGTTTTGTCCCTAGACCTCTTTTTCCCATAAGTAAGTTGATGGTGTCAGAGTCCTATGACACATACATCAGCAGGAGCTTCCAAGTAACCAGAGAGATCCTGGCGGAGTGCAAAAGCCTGGGTAAAGGTTTGTTAAAGAATTCTGAACATGTATCCAGGGTTTTAAATTAATAACAACTTTACTACGCACCAAATGTTGCCAACATTTACTCCCTACAGTGGCCACTTTCTTTTCAAGATCTTTACATTTGAATGCTTCATGTTTTAAATGTAATCTTTGGCGGCCACTGTACACACACAGCATGAGCCAATATAATCTAAAATAAATAATGGGCTGCTGGTCCTACACAAAGAACCATACCTGACTCTACACTCTATACCATAAAACCTTATAACTCATTGTATAAAAACATTACCTTTTTAATAAGCACTTTGTTTTTAGCTTGCCGGCCTTCTGATTTAAAATGTTTCATTTGGATATCTATATAAAAGTACATGTTTTAAAGAACGTGAACATTTCAAGCAGCATGTTATCCACCGCTACAGAATTCTAATTGTATCCGTGGAATATGGTTCTCTGTTCTCTACCTCTTGAACGCAGGAAACACGGTCCTGATTGTGGCCCATGCTTCCTCCCTGGAGGCTTGCACTCGCCAGATACAAGGCCTCAGCCCCCAAAACGCCAAGGACTTTGTTCAAGTTGTCCGAAAGGTCAGTTTGCTGCTTTAGTTACACACTTCAATACTCTCCTCTAATGCTTTTTCTTCGATAAAATGCACATCTGTCTCCTCTTTATGCAGATTCCATACTTGGGTTTTTGTGCTTCTGAAGAAATGGGAGAGACCGGGATTTGGCAGCTGGTCGACCCACCCATCTTGCCTCTGACACATGGACCCAATCACAGTTTTAACTGGAGGGAAATGCTAATACAGGACTAAAGGATATGCTGTTTGGCTCCCTGTCTTGTAGTGGTCCCAAACTGCTGAAAAAATATTTATTTTTAACCCACACTGCTATAAATCCTGCCCAACTACCAAAAAAAAGAAAGAAAAAAAAATCACGTCTGGCTTCCGTCACAGACATCATGCAAAAAAAAAAAGTAATTGAAGCAAATGTATTCAGACGCACTGCTCAGGAATGAGAAAATACAGTTTGTGTGGAGATGAGCAAAAATGAGCTACAGATTTTGGGGCAGTTTTTCGCATTTCCGTCAACGTTCTACTTCTTAGCCCAAAATGTGGAGGTGCTACGAGATATCAGGTTTTATGCCATGAGAAGGGGTCATTAAGCTCCGTCTGTGGCCCATCCTCAGGCGGGGCAGTGAAGACTTTGTGTTCTGCTGCCGACTCACACACTGTGACAAGAATTAGACGAGAAAGACTTGTACCACAGAATTATTTTTCCATGTGTCAGAAATTATTATTTAACTTGTAGCTACGACTCTTCCTGCAAAAAAAAAAAGCACAAAGAAATGTAGACAATCAGACGGAAGAACTGATCTTCATTGTTTCTGGTGCCGATGTAGGTAGGTTATGACACCTGTTTTATTCCTGTAAATGTCATATCATTAAGTGATTCTTCTAAGTTAACATTTATGTGCCCACATCATTCCTTTATCCTTTCTGTAAGGGCCTGATCCACAGGTATTATGTGGAGGCAATTCAGTTTTGATTACCACCACAGGAGCAACCAAGGTAATATGGCTGAAGAAAAATTATATAATGAAAAACAGACCGCTGTTGGTTGTCCAGGTGCACTGACTAAAACCTTTGCTTGTTTATCATGACTCTGACACTCTCAGTAAGCCTGATAACCAGGCTGCTTATCACACACTTGTTGCATTTTTTTTTGGTCATGCCAGATGATTTAAGTGCTTACTGCCTATACCAATAATATGATGTATGACTCAGATCAAATCTATCAATACTCTCAAAAATGAATAAAGCAAGGTTGTGGAGTTATGAAGGCTTATACGTAGCATGTGCCATGTGTTCTGTGAAGACATCACTTCTACATTAGTGGGAATTGCTCTTAATTTTTGGTTCTGTTTCAAACAAACTGCAGTGAGGCTGTTCTTAAAGAAAATAAACATGAGTGGGCGTTGCAGTGCACAACTAACACTGAAACAGTCTTGCAGCAGTGTCAGTACGCTGTTGATGCAGCCATTTGCCACTACATGTAAGCAAAAGTGAGGAAACATAATCCGATCAGCCCTAACGTGCCCACTGAGAGAGGAAGTGAATAACACTGATTATCTTGTTAACATGACACCTGTCAGTGGGTGGAATATATTAGGCAGCAAGTGAACATTGTGTCCTCATGGTTGATATGTTAGAAGCAGGAAAAACGGGCAAGCGTAAGTATTTGAGTGACTTTGACGAGGACCAAATTGTTCTCCAAAATGGTCTGCGGTGGTCAGTACTTATCAAAAGCAGTCCAAGGAAGGACAAATGGATCCAACAGGCTACTGTAGGTCAAATTGCTGAAAAAGTTGATGCTGGTTTGGGTAGAAAGGTGTCAGAACACACAGTACATACACAGTGGAGTCCATGCCTGGACTGGTCTGGGCTGTTTTGGCAGTAAAAGGGAGACTTATGCTTTTGACTTTGCAGTGCAGGGATAATGGATTTACGGATTAGGAACATATGGAAAACCCTTTTACAGCAGACATTTTGACTTGTCATAGCAGGAAAAGCACAGGTGGAATGAAAAACATTAGGACTGGCTCAGATCCATTAGGTGTCCCAGTAAGCTGTTGGTGAGCCAGCATACACCATACCTGGGCATCCCCCAACTTGCCCTATGTGTAATGCAGTCATCATTAATGATATTAAAATGGTATCTGTGCTAAATGTCTGCGCTGAAAGGGGTCTAAATTTGCTCTGAGACTCTGGATTCTGGAAAAGACAAAAATTAAATTCAAGAATTGTTATTTTTAATGTTACTTGCTCTATTCTCACAATTCTTACTTCTTACTCAGATTTTTAACAAAGCAAAGTCTTACTTGTTTTCTGGGAATTTGCCTTTTCTTCAGGCCATTTAAACCCTCTACTCTCTGTAAGAAGAAGCACTTGGGGACAGTTCGGGCCCTGACATGAATCTCTGCTACCTTTAATGAGCTTGAAATACTTTCAGGAAAATAGAGATAGGTTACAAAATATGGTGTACGAAGCAGTAACTTCTGCAATAACTGAACAGACAACTACTTCGGGCACACTCCATTTAGCTAACTAGCCACATTAACATCGCCGTTAACTAACAGTGGAGTTTTTCCGTCTCTTGCTAACGCGCATGAGGCATTTTTTTTGGTTCATGTAACTTTAACGTGCTTGTCAGTTGTCTGCTGAAAACGTGAACTTTGACACCTTAATTTTTGTCTGTGGAAGCATCAACAAAACGCCAGCCTTACAGGTAATTGTAGTGTAACGTTAGTTTCAGAGTAATTAAAACAAAAACAATTAGTGAATATTAACATTACACGTTGACAACGACAACATTGACCCTTGACAGCCTTAACTGTACAAACATTGATCTAAAACTTCGAAATCACTTTTTTAAGTTACTAAGTTTGACCACATTCATTAATGTTATATTTGAAATACTTTCTTTCTTGATTAAAATATATGTAAACATGTAATAAATATTCTGAAATATGAGAGTCTGTTGTGACTAACGTTATATGAGGCATCACTATAATTCAATGAGAATTTATTATGAACGAACCTTCTGTGAACTGAAATTTTACTCATTAAACTCAATACAACATGTTCCTGGTAAAACTTTGTTCTCTGATAGTATAACGTTAAATGATTATATTTGGTTAGGCCTACTTGGTAAGGTTGGCCCGTGTTTCAAAATACTATAAAAATAAAAACAGACGAATAAATGATGACCAAACGCACTAGAGAAGACTAGACTCACACAGTCTAAGTGTGAGACAAACACTAGATGGTGCTATTTGATGACCAATATCTGTAAGCAGTCTTTTATTATTAATCTACAAACAGGCACATTTGAACTGTAAGGGCCAGCAATTTCTAAACTTATAAAGAGTGTCGATATGGTATTTAACACCCTGTGAAAAGATTTTCTTCATCCAACCTGGTAAGGAGTGATGTTTGAGACTACTGTGAGGAAACTGCAAAGCATTTGTAAAGATAAAAGCATCAGAAAAATTATCTAATTCATATTAATAATTCATATAAGAATTCATTTTTAATTAAAGATAATAATAAACTAGTTTGGATTATTCTATTGAGAGACAAATGACAGAGATTACTGCATTTACTCCCACTCAAACAGCTGATACCAAAAGATATCTGAAACATTTACATGCATTCCTCATAAAATAAGTACAATAAGTTAGCTTGGTGCTTACCAGTTTACACTTTGTCCATGCATTTCCTTGCAGGGCTTAGAGTGCAGCGAACACCAACATCCTTGCAGGAAGCAGGTAGGTAGGTGTTCAGTGACGTGTACATTGGTGAACACTTTGATTGAGATTGGTTCTTGACTCAGTTTACATTGTTATTCATGAAAGTTAGGAAATTTGAAAAAAGGAGTAGCAGTGTTAGTGATTTGCAAATATTTTTTGTCATGTATTTAAAGTACTGAACAGCTTCTATTTTTTATTTGATATAGCCCATTGCATTTTATTGGCAAGTGGCCATGGTATAAGCGGGATCCCTTACATAAAGAAATGATAATCAATTGCTTAATAAATTTCCAATCTCAATTTATTAACTGATTAATTCAATTGTAATTTCTGTTTCAATATTCTGGCTAAATAAATTATTATTTAAGAATGTATTCATAAAATACTTTTTCAAAAAGCTTTTAAATTTTTGCTCTGAAAATGTTAATTTACTAATGCTTCTTTCATCATACTCCATCTCTCTTACTGTTAACAGAGTCCCTTTTATTCACACTAAAATGTAAATGCACCTCCATTTAAATTTGAATTATACAGGCACTTTGCCACTTTGTATTTTCTATCATCTGAGCCTTCCAGTAATTAAATTATCTCTGAAACCTCCTATGTACTGTGATTTGAGCTTTGAGTCAGAGATTATCCAAGAGCTGTATTTAGAACTGGTATTACTACTTGGGAATATGTTGTTGCCCCATAGGTAGGATTTTTATCATACCAGATACAGATATTCTAAATCTGGTTTGTTACCTTATCAGTTATAGATTTGATTCAGTAGAGAAACTGGTACAGGAACATGGCCCTCTCAGCTGTGCTACTGCTGTACAGTATGATAGATAATAACCAATGTATCTCAGCTGTGTTGTAGCATGGAACAGGCTGAGAGCAAATGTTTGGTATTTTTTACTTAAGCCTGCATTAACAGATTTTTTCACAACAGTGACATATTATCACCTTTATAAAGTTCATAGGTTGATTGTAGTTGCAAACAGTTACCTATTTACACATCCAACTGACATAAAACAACATTAGCATTCATTTAGAGTTGTGTTTCTGACCAGCTGACAAACTTAAGTCCAACATTCACTCTCCTTTTAGATTTTTTTTGGTCTCCACCATCCACTGTGGGAAATATCTGGCTCTTTAGTTGCCCAATGCTCCACTATGTTCACTAGCCAGTGAAGGCAGCCTTACTTTGTCTGTCTGCTGTTTGGTGTTGGGCAGGTAGAGTACAAGTGTTTTTATCAGAGCTTTTTGAATTAAAACTTCTGCCCGCTTCGTCTGGAAATAAACAAGGTTGATGAGAGTAGTTACAGTGAATCAAAACAGTGGAGTTGCAGGACGTAAAAAAACAAAAACAGTGATCTGAAATATCCCTTCGTAGAGCTGAAGGGAACTGCAGAGATGATAATTCTGTGTGGGTTCATCAATACAAGCAACAGCTTTACAGTACACATAGTGTAATAATAATTTGATCTGTAGTTAACATAAACATATTAATTAGAGAAGGTGTAAATACGATATATATGATATATAGGGTTATTGTTCATCTACACATTTTTGTTGATTAATTAATCAATGTATGACCTTATTTGTAGCTTCTTTGGAAGTTATTAATAAAATAACATTCATCAGTGTTTTACCACACCATAGTTGTGGACTAGAGGTTGTTCATGAGGTTAACTCATTACTCAACCAGCCAAAACACAGGTGACCTACACTTGGAACTGTATTTGACCTCATCCTTTGTAGACACAGGCTACAGTCTACTACATACTCAGTCAGCATGTACTGCATACTGCCTACTAAATGAACGATTAAGTATGCCATTACCAGCTGACTGTTCACACTGAAGTATACTCCTAGCAATAAGTCATCTCTGCATCACATGACTGTATCAATCACAACATTATCGGTCCGAGCTACCACTGAATAACAATTCTTTATCACATATGTAAATCAACATTAGCTCTTCCACTGAGTGTAATATTTTCCAGTTTTATGTTAACGCAATTTAAAGAAAATGGTAAATGCTATTGTTTGTGGTTCACAAAGAATGAAGAATATAGGTGAAATAATAGGGATGCACCGAAATGAAAATTCTTGGCCGAAGCTGAAACCAAATATAATGAAAACAATTCCCGAACACTGAACAAGTACATTCACATTTACAATTGCAAAATTAAATAGTCAGAATAGTAAATAACTTCTAACACCTCCATAACGAGAGACAGGTGCGTCATAAGGAGACAGGAGAGTAAAAAGTCAAAATGTGCTTTTTACTCAGTGTTTCCCTCAGTGTTCTCAGTGTTTTTTTATCCCTTTTATTTTATTCTATTTTACTAATTTAATATTTATCTTAAACGTGTATTTTAGTCTTTTCAATGTTTTCATGCTTTTATCTTGTATTGTTTTTGTATTATTGTCTCTTGGGTATTATTGTCTTTACACTTGTTAAAGCACTTTGTAACTTGTTTTTGAAAAGTGCTCTACAAATAAAGATTATTATTATTATTATTATTTTCCACAGAATTTGGAGAGACT